TTTGTGCCCCTAGCAACCCTCTCCTTTCCGACGCCGGCGACAGCTCTGGGACGAGGCAGGTTTCTCCGCAGGAGCAGAGCTGCCTGCAGCGGCGAGTTCGCGGGGCCTTTGCTGCGCTCAGGCCGCTCCCCAAGCACCGCTCGCTCCGTGCAATGGCCGGCGTCAGGGGAGGTCGTTTCACTACGTTCGCCCAGTGCCGCGGCCGACGGGGCGCACGGGCACACGCACGCGCACGGGTAGCTATACGTATGCACGCAGGCACGCTCGTACGCTGCAGTCCTTTTGGGGGAAAGCTCTCACCGACGTCACTGGCGTTTGCACGGATCCTGAGCGCGGCGGGGAGGTTTGGGGTAGGAGCCGCCCCCTCCGTTAATAAAAATAGGCTTTTCTGGTAAGCAGTCAATTGCTAAGTGAACCCAGCTACTCGTCTGTTGGCAGCAACAGATCCGGTTGGGTGGGATCCTGTGACCAGGCTGGATGGATTTTTTTAATGTGTTAGTCAATAAACCTCCGTTTTCTTAGGTTGTGGCAGGATAAACAGCCTAGTTTTGCTGTTTACGCTCTATGTAGAGTCCTGGAAGTATTGCTATTAGCTTATGCTGTTGTCCAGAAAAAACTACTGAAGCCTTGCGTATGGCGGGATGGGGAACCTCAGGCGATATTTCCATTTAGTAAGAAAGAAAATTAATTTAGCTTTCACCAAAGTGTCCCACAATGAGTGAAAAAAAAAACCTATCTATTTCAAACGTCATTAAACTGGAAGTGCTGTTGCTTGATATTTTGATCTCTCAATGTGCTGGTTTAAGTTATGGATTTCAATTATCCTTTGGAAATGAACTTGCAGTTTTGTAATTGCTGTCACAAGTCTCTCAGATGTCAATGCTGAATTCACAAGATGAAAAAACAGGGTTTCTGGTTTGATTGCGCTCCCTTCAGTCTGCATAGTAATTTCCAAACTGCCACTTTTGATAAGGATTTGAGGAGTCACAGGCATTTACCCTCAGGGTTTTGTGAGACTGATCCACTTCCAAACACGCCGGCTGCTGAAGGTGCTCTAAAACAATGTGATCCGTCTGAGGAGAAAAGAGATGACTTTAGGTAAACGGTCATAGGCAGCAACAGTTATCAGAAACCTAAGAAAGTGTGTTGTTCTATTTTCCCACTGAGAAAGCTTGATTTTTTTAATGATGTGCCCTTTTCCGCATTTCTCTAAGGCAGAAGATCTCTTTGCAGACTTACTTAAAGGGAAATTTGGGTGGGATCCAAAGCTTACACCTGTTGCTGAACTAGGATTATATTATACCTTCTGTGCTTCATGGCTTTTTAATTCACTGGAAATTAAAGGATTAGTTCTCTTGCTGTCCGAATAGTAATTACCATGCAAAGGAAATAACTCCAGATGGTATTTGCAATATAGGGGAACGTATGGCAGGAGACTGATTTTTGTGTTTTGCACTCTCCTAGCTGATGAACTAAAAGCACATTCACTGTGATGAAAAGGACATTAGGTAATTTGGTAATGAAGTCCAAATGCTGGACTAGTAAATTGGATTGCTAAAGAATGGAGAGTTTGAGCGATTCCTATCCTTTTGCTTTTTCACATGTACTTATCTTCATCTGCGTAGCTCACATAGCCAGCAATTCTGCAAGTACCATCAATGGTAGGGTCATTTTCATTTTACTGCCAGCATTGCAGCGTTTCTCATCATCATTTGGTTAACAGCTAGATGAAATATTACTAAAATGACTCGTGGGTTTTTGTCTGGGCAAAAAATGGATCTTTTTGTGTATGGTAAATGCACTGCACATCATTAAAATGACACAGTCAATGTGACATTAGATGAAGTAAAGCATCCTAATTCCTGTGGTCAGCATTAATCATTGGTTGACTTTATCTGCAATTTTCTTATCACTTGTGTCAATAAATGCTGGTGCAACTGCATTAATTGTTATTTTAGGTAACTGAGACGGATCTCTCTGAAATTAGCTTTCCAGGGAGAAGGTGGGAGGTGCATTAAAAAGCAGGCTTTTGTCCTGCTGTGTCTGCAGATCCCTGAGGTCTCCAGGCAGCAGGACTGTCTACATTTCATGAGGGCCCCTTGGCAGGGTTTTGGTAAAAGGTTCTTTTTCTCTACCCGCTACTCTCCTCCCCGTTGAGCAGTTCACGTTTGAGCTTTGCTTCTGCAAGGACCAATCTGGAGGGTCGCATTTTATGAAAAGACCTTTTGAGTCCTTGGACTTGCCGTGTCAAGATCCATGTAACTGAAGATGCCCAGTGTTGTGTCCAACTTCAAAAAATAACAATTTTCATCTACAAAATGCTACTCTTGCAATTTAAGGGCCTTTTTGTTTTCTAGGGTTTTTTCTTGCCTATACGTGTTTGAAGTTTTGTCACATGCTCCTAAGAGAGAAACTTCCTGGACTCCGGATCATTATTACTCTGATGCCGTAATTCAGGACAAACTCACTCAGGTAACTTTCACTTGAACACTTTGTCTCAGAATGGACTTATTCATTCCCAGACTGTCACGTTCGTGCTTAAAAGTGGCCGATGGGGAGAGGGTGAAACTGCTGCACAGAAGAGCCTGGACGCTTCGGTCTGTTGCTGTTTCAAGCGCTCCGGCTGCACGCCGGAGCCGCGTTTGCAGGGCCGAGCGGGGCTGGTGCCGCAGGGCCGTTTTGGGAAGGAGGGGACCGGGCCGCGCGTGCTGGCGGCCGTGTGTCCCCGCAGAGCTCGACCGCGTGCGTGGGGCCCCGGGCCCTCCCCAGAGCAAGCCTCATCTCCTCCTCCAGCAACCCGAATGACCAGCTCCGTCCTGCTGCTCGCTCGGCCACGGGCAGGCATCGCTGTCCGCCTCAAACGCCATCCGGCGGAGCGGTGTCGCTTGGGGAGAGGACCCCAATGGTCTCTATTCTGCCAGAGACCATCAAATACGTAAATATATCTAACTCCGGGCTGGAAGCGAGCTCAGTCTGGAACAGACTCATAATGCTGACCGGACCCTTAAGTGGACGACAATTTTCATATATTTTCACAAAGTATTCTGGCTTTTGTAAACCTGGGAGCAGCAGTGTTTGGCCTTGAAAGTTTTGGTTTTTGAGACTAAAGAAAGAGGAACGGGAGCCTGTCAATACAGTGATCTTGTAACTTAACAGCTACAGTTAAGAGCTAAATTAAGAGTTAAATAATGTCATTTCATTGGTATTTAGCTTTTTAGAGCAACTACTTATACAAGGCTAATGTAGATACAGTCATGACTTTCTTGCTTTTCTCAATGATGGTAATAAATGTAAGTGCCCACTCTTTTCCTTTTAAAAGTATTGTTTGAGTGTCAATCAATACCAAGTAATCCCCATATAAGTACTATGGATTGACTCCATGTAAAACCAGGACGTTTTGTTATCGTCACACAGCAAATGGCCAAGCCCTGCTGGAGTGAACACCTTGCTTTAGCAAGTGTTCGTCTAGGTCTCCAGACATGCGATATGGTGGAGTCAGGCTGCATTTCACTGTGCAACCGTGATACAACCTGGAGGCAGCCAGTATGTTTATATGCACAAGATGAAAGGCAGCGTAGCTGGGGGACGAGAAGACCAAATTCATCTCTAGGCGAAAAGATTGCATTGGTGAAAACCTGACCGGAGTGTCCGGGGTACTCTGCGTGCCTTGCGCAAGACTGCAGGTGTCTGTGAACTTGCAAGAGTCTGTTGCTAACACAAGCCCTGGATCACCAGCAAGGTGCAAATTACTCCTCTGTGCTCCAGGCCTCGCCCTTCCTGGTTTATCTGCCCATTTATCCACGGCAGGGGGATGCTGTTGCCAGCACTTTACTCACCAGCTCCGGCTGAAAGGCGGCCAGTGACTTATGCAGCCACTTCAAGCCGTGGTTCCGGCTGTCACAAGGGTGCAGACCCAGGGCTCCTCCAGCCGCTCCCGGGGCCACGCAGACGTCTCCGTGCTGGATCAGCCTCAGCCAGGTGTAGTTGAATTTTTGGTTCTGTGCAGAGAGGTTGGCAGAAAGCTGTCATTGCTGCGCGCCCTACCTCCTGGCCAGGCGCACGGAGAGGTCGCCTTGGCAGCCCCTTCCCACCCTGTGACACCATGTGCCACTGGGCGTTTTACAGCAGCAAGCAACATATGGCTTTGTATTTAAATGTTTCTCCTCACTCTCACATGCATGGATTTATCTAACTGTCCTATTCTGGCTGGACTCGCTAGTTCTGGTTGTTGCTCGCTACAGACTCTGGAAATTTCTGTCTCTGACTGCTCCTAAGCATCTTCTGGTGTGTCTCCTGGTGGGAAGGATTGCACCGGCTCTGGAGAGGAGGTCAGGGCAGCGTGGGAAGGTGGGGAAGTTCTCAGCTGTGCTCTCAAAATTAGGTTAGATATTCAGTAATCAGGCTATCCTTACCTTGTTGTTGACATCACAAGTCTCAAAAGCTAGAGTGGTGTTCTCCACAGTGATGCATCTTGCCATGGCTACATTAATAAGCTAGAAAACAGCACCAAAATGGAAATTTAGAAATAGGAAAATAAGACATAAATTCTCAAGACAGAGGAGAGGCTGTTGCACTATAATTAACCTGCCAGACTCCGAGGACCGTAATTAACACTGTCCACTTAACTGAATGAAGTAGAGATATTGTGTCATAGTCTTTGGTGGGGTTCATAAATGCACATTTGGTCTGCTACCAATGTTGAATGAGTTGATATTTCACTGAAGCTTTTGGTCTAATTCCAATGGTGTTTTCTAAAGAAAATATAGGGACATAGGTTTTCAGCTAGACATAATGGCTCCTGAATGGTTGCCTTAGTTAATGGGTCTTAGTATTTGTCTGCAACTGCTCTAAGCTGCAAACCATGGCTTTTGCCACAGTGAGAGGAATGGAAGCTTCGAATGGAAGAGCAGCTAAAAATTATCTAAAAATGCACAAACCTAGAAGCTCCCTTTAACTTTTTCACAAGTGCTGAGTAGTCGCCTGGATCCCATAGCTTCACCAAACCGTGGCATCCTTCTGCATTTTCTTTGTAAAGCTACTATCAAACGTTTTTATGGTTGCTCATAAAACGAAAACACTAATTGCAGCTGGCAAAAAGCAGCTGTAAAACAGCCTCGCTTGATCTCTAGGGATTCCTGTGAATGGGAATCTTCATGTTACACCCTTGGCCAACAAACAAGCCTGAAACCTGGCCAGAAGGTTGCTTCCAGAATGGCCCGTGAAATAACTGGAGGTTGTGGGAGCTGGCGGGCACGGAGGGGACAGGCCGTTCCTGTCCTTGCTCCTCCTGGCTGTGCCAGGGCTGCGGCTGCTGGGTCCCACCAGCCTCCTTCCTCTGAGTGCTCCTCCTGCGGCCATGCTTAGAGGCACTGCTTGGGCAGAGAAAGGAATAAATCCTCTCGTTTTGACTCCTGGCATTGCTGTAATCTTTTTTTTACAAACTGCATATTTTACTTATGTTACTGCAATTATAGATAAATTGTAAGTAGTTGAATATCTTGTCTGGACAGAATATTTTAGGTTTCTGAATGTTCAGAGGAGCATCTGATATTCTGCTGAGGCTACGATCTGGGCCAAAATCGGGATCCATGTTTTATTCTTGTCTCATTCACTTTTTAATATGGGTGAACACCTGCAGAGCAGGTAAGACAGGTAAGACCAGTGTCGGGGGAGGCCACAAGTATCCTGGCTGGGGATGGAGGGGCAGGGAGGAGAAACAGAGCCGACCCTGTTGCACCCCCCCCAGCCGCCCATCCAGCATAGTGCCAGAGACTTGTGATGAGCCAGGTTTTAATCCAAAATACACTGTAAGGGTTCTCCTCTCCTGAGGAGCAGGCTTCACCTACTTGTGAATAAATGCTAAGACTTTCTGTTGTTTTTGTTTGTTTGTTTGAAAGCAGACGCGATGTGACTTGTGCTGCAGAAGGGGGAAAATAGATTTCTGCTGCGCTCTAGTGGTGATGCATCGCTAGTACAAAGCACTGCGACACCAGTCCATGGGCTCAATCCCTTCCACGCTTAAATGAGTGGAGCACTAGAAATCCCATTGGAAAATGAATTTGTCTCCCCTGCTGTGGTGAGAAAGTTATGCAAATACAGAGGATTTTAGCGCTCATGCCCTGGAGACGAGGTGAGCTAAAAGGATTTGCCTCTCTGTGACCGTGACTGGGGCGTGGGTGACTCATCTGTTTTTTAAACGCTAAATAAGCTCTTTAATGGAAATTTGTTTCTTGGAATTGTGACTTATTTCTTTATAAAAATACTGGCAAATGCAGACTGTGACATATTAAATATTCAAAAATGTTACCTAGCAGAAATTTGAAAGTAAACACAGTAATATCATTCAAAAAGATGCATTCTCTGGTTACATGGATAGAAACCCTTGCCTGTTGGAAGTGTCAAAATTGTTCAAAGAAAGAGCAAGGGAAGTGACTCAGAGGCAGGTCTTCTGCCCCTCAGAAGAACACCAAGCAAACAGCTATGTTTGGATGCTTCCAGGTCTCTAGCTAGCCACTGAAAATACATTGAAATGAACAATAGCAATTGTTCATTTGGGTACGTACCAGCCCACTAGCTTTAACCAGAGGAGCTTCCAAGTCCGGATAGATGTTCTCCAGGTACCACTTGAAACTTTTGCATTGAAGCTTCTTCCGTAGTTCGATTTGTTGCGTTAGGTTACCGACATCCAGGTTTTTCAAGATTAAGTGATAAGCATGTCCATAGAATAAGTCTTTGTACTCGTCTAACCAGACCTCTGCGACACGAGCCAAATTCCGCTCCACCGTCCTTATCCGATCTTTAGGGAAGGAATATGGGTTGTCGTTCCTGAAAATGTGTCCAACTCTGGAGCACGGAATAATCTCAATTTCTCCTCCACACATCCAGACCTGAAAAACAGAGATTGATGCGATGGAAACACTGGCAAATGTTGCACTGTGGTTAACACAGCCCTAATTCTGCGACATGGCCTGCCTTTCGGCCAATGCGGTTTCTGGAGTGTGACATGTATCTCTGTAAGGGGCGGGCGGACAAGTGAGATCATGCTGAGGACAGTTCTGTTGGGGATCAGCATCTGAGCAACCGTACTGCTCCAAAGGGAATGTGTTTGGAAAGGCTTGAGATCAAGACCACGGAGGGACCTCATACCTCATCTCGTGTGGAAAAGCCCCTCATATCTCCCATCAGCTGCTTGGGCTGCAGCCAGCTGGGTCTCCTTGGGCCGGCTCTACCTCCCTGGGGTTGGCAGAGGGAGGCCATTAACTCTCTGCTCCCCAGGCACATCCCGCCCCAGTGCTCAAGCACAGCTCTCTTGGACACTTAATGACACCCTCAATGAAGTCCTCTGGGGCATTGCCATCCCTGCCCTGTGGCAACCCTGGCACCGTGGCTTTGGGGATGAAGCTTGCACTTCCACAGTGTGAGCGGGGGATTAACGACCTGCTTCTCCTGGGAGGCGACATGCTCACCCACGGGGTGGGTTCGGATTATATGCCGGAGAGGAAGCGGGGAGCGATGCAAGCGCTTTCCCAGAAACCCGTCAATGTGGCGTTCACTTGGAGTGACGTTTCCCGCGGGGACGGGCTGCTGGGAACCACATACCTTGAAGGAAATCTCCATATTTTCGCCTCCCCAAACATCCAGCCCAGGGTCGTATGTTCCCAGCTCAAAAAAATACTTCTTGTCAATGGAGAACAAGCCACCTGCCATTACTGGGCACCTGTGAACAGATGAGCAGAAAAGGCAGCTCCCTTTCCCCTCACTTCTGCAAAGGACTTGTCAAGCAACTGTGGGCTGCTAAACGCTCAGGGGCAGCATCTGAATTTGCTCCTGCTGAGGCAGGAATGTCAGGTTAACAGCTGAAGATCGTTTGGAGTAAAGGCAGAGAATCCCTGGAGGCAGAACTTGCTACTTTTTTAAAAGCCTGAAGATTTTTTGGAAGGCAGTGGCCACCGGCATTGTCACTTCAGTGCAGGCTGACAAGTGCCATATTAAAACAGTTCATGTGCTGGCCTGCGTGGGCATCAAACCGGCAGCTGCGGCCACGAGCAGCTCAGCACGGCACCCAGCCCCTCCAAGAGCGGCACCCTGCGGGCCGGGTGGCTCGGCTGCTGCATCATGAACGAACGAACCGGTTGGCTCACAAAACTCTTCAAAAAATTCACTTTTTGCTTTACCTGATTATATCAGTTTCCTTGATTTTATTTTTCTCAATGACCTCTTGAGGAATCTGTCGCCATCCAAAATTCATCGGCCAAGTGAAAATCCCACGCTGAAAGTTATCCACAGTCATGTAACTAAAGAGAGGAGAGATCAGGATGACTAACTCTGACTCATATTCCTGATTGAAATGTCACCCTTAATGAGTGAAGATGAACATCTGCACATAATTAAAACAAGATTCTAACAAATTTCATCAGGAATCCTCTTCTTGTCCTAAAACTCATGGACTACCTGAAAGGTGTCTGTGATAAATGAAGCAGCTATGTCTACTGGTAGAGATTTTAACAGCTCATGTACAGCAATTTTATGTATTCCTTATTATGAAATCTTGTTGAAGGCTAGTTAGAAGGTTTAGATCTTTGTCTTCCTATAACTGACGCTTTCGATGGTCACAGTTAGTTAAGAGGTTTCGCGAAGGCCGATTGCATTAACGTTCGTGTTTCGCAGCGACGCAAGCAGCCTGGGGTGGTGTTACCTCATGTCCTTGTCGCTGATCACCTCGATGACGGGGCAGGCCACCTTTACCCGGCTCAGGCGGACCCTCTCCAGAAGTGGCTCCAGCCACCCCACGTTGCACTCCACATGTGAGTCCAAGAAGGTCAGCACGTCGCCTGGGGGCAAAATCGAGGGCATGGCCAGGGCAACAAACCTCTCCGCTCCTCACACCCCTTCCGGAGAAGCCAAGCCGGAGCGGACCAGGGCGCATCTTTGGCCCGATCCATGATTTCCAGGTAAGCGTTTTGTAAAGCATGCGTGGACGCTAGTGCTGAACCAGCCAGAGGCTGGCTGGTTTTCTGCGCCCGAGGGTGATCGCTGAGAAGGACGTTTCACTCCCCAAAACATTCCCAAGAAAAGGTCTCAGCCATAACTCAATGCACATTTTTCCTTAAGGGCCTAAGGAAACCTCACAGGTCCTCTTGGCTTGCTGCCTGAACGAATTTGCAGCCAGCACGAAATGGAAAGCAAACTTAAGAGGAATTCCACACACAACTGGCCATTTTTATAACAACACTGTGGCTTTTTTGCAGAAAGTGAAGCTAAGGCCAGGCAGAGCCGGAAATTTGAATTGACACTCACTGACGCTGCTTTTAGATGCCAAATAATCAATCAGCAGCTCATCCTTTCCCTGAAATTTCTGCGTTTTGCGTGCTGAAAACATGCTCCTTTCTCATTTTGTTTGTTAGTCACCAACTTCTCCGTTAGACCAGCGCTGGAGGGGTGGTGGAAATTTTCAAATGAAAGTATTCTATAAATTGTTGCCGTTATTTTTCAAATGTACCATTCGACAAGAGGACTGTTGAGATGCTTGACATTTGTTTGCAGAATGGTTCCGGTTTAGTGTGGTAGTGAGACATCCTTAACACCAGTTCAGCTGGAGGGGAGTAAAATGCAGTAATAAAAGAGACAGTGACAGAAGTAATAGAGTAAAATACAGTAGTAGAAACAGAGGAATAGAAGAAGGGCCGTTTAGTGCCTCTGTCGAGATCCAGATAGGCGTGTGAAGGGGCTTTCGTCTTACCTTTGGCTATCTCTGCTCCAGCCAGTCTGGCTCGTATCAAACCATGTCTTTCTTTGAGATGAAGGATCTTAACTTTTGGGAACTGCGACATATATTTGTCAAGCTTCTCCTTGAGGTAGTCTAAAGAACAGAAGAATGAGACAATGAGACTGACGTACTTATTTCTAGAAGTAAAAAGTAGTGGGTTCTCCCCAGAAGCTTCTCCTGGACATGTATGGTTCTTGCGTTTAGGGTTTCTGTTGACTTGGAGAGGATTCCCTCGGTTCTGCCCCGTCGATGCCAACCTGATAGTGAGGTGCTCTGGCCAGCGCAGTAACTCGGCTGGAAGCAGGACATGTTTGAAGAGGGGCTACCTGGCCCCTCTCTGGCTTTCAGAATAGCAAGCGCAGGGCTGTGCAAAAATACATGTTTTTAATGATAGCCTACGGTTAAAATCCTAATGGGTTCACTTGGGTGTTTCATGATCCAAACTTGGGTATTTAGCAGTCATTCGAAGACTTGAAAGTTGATTTTTCTTCTTCATGACACTATAATTGCCATTAAAATCTGGTTGTATGTTTTTTTCCTTTGCGTAATTCCCTTCCAATTTAAAAAAAAAAAAAGTGTGTTTTACACACGTCTCAATAGTGAGCACCACATTTAAAGACTCAGCCCAGGTTTAAGCTGCAGATTGTGGCATGTCACCACGTCTCAGGCTGTATTTGCTGTCGTTTCACGTGGCTGTGGAAGCAGCTGATAGTGAATTCCCAGAACAAATTGCAGCTGCAAAAGGCGTTTCAGCGGCAATTTCAGCGCCATGGCAGTTCGGTTTGCTAGACCATTCCCTCCCCCAACGGAGAAGGCCGACAGGAGTTCAAAGCAGCTGTGGGTGCGTTTGGCAAGGGGAAGAGGGGACCGAGCACGGCATCCAGAGACAGCCCCGTCCTCCTGGCCTTTGGTCTGGGGGAGACCTCCAGGCTTCCTTCCCGATGGAATTCACAGATGCACTTTGTTTTATTTCAGGAGAAGATAACTGTTTACACTTCAAAAGTGAGTTAAAAGCTCTGAGGGCCTCCAATGGTGATGCATTTGCAGACACGTTAGCAGAATGCTGTTGCTGCTGCTTCTCCTTAATGCACCTGTGATAGTGCGGCTTCTGCTGCAAACCCCGCATTTCAGGGGCCTCGCCGGCTCATGAGCAGATACGAAGGGAAGTAACAGGGAGAAAGGAATGAGGAAAACAGAAAGACATTTTTCAGAGGGAATAGTATGTATTAATGACTATTTTAAAACAGAACATACAGAGTCCTCTTCCCTTCCTTCTTGTACCTATTCTCTTGTTAGACTGTCAAGTCTTTGGGATAGGCTCTGATATGCACCTAAGACAGTACCTTCTCTGAAGAACTAGCAGTTGGAAAACAACATTCTTAAATTATTGAGGGCTGAAGTCAGTGGAGAACCAAAGCGTCAAAAAGTAGAGGCTCGGTATCATCTGAAGGGCCTGTGACTATGCATGGCAATCCACCGTGCATGCACAGACAACCAAACAGCCGCTGCTTTTATTGCAACTATTACAGTCCCTGAGCAACTCTGGTAAGTGCAGTCTTCTCCTGCCACCAATTCTGGAAAAAAAACCCCACACATTAATCTGCAAACTGCACAGCAAAGGGTGACGGTGTCTTTCTGAACACACGTGCCCCTGAGCCAGAGGCTCCGTCCGCCGCCAAGAGCATGTCACGGGCCCGAGCGTGGCCATGGTCTTCGATTCTCTCCTATCTGAAGAGGTAACAGCACGGGTAAGCACTTCAACACGTCAGAAGAAGAAAATGCCATTTCCTTCTACTATTCAGAATTGAATTACAGAGAATAAACTGTATTTTAGCCTCAAGTTATATTAGTTTCATTAAGGTAAAAGAAGTTTTACCTACCTTTGGTACTGCAGTCGTCCACCAAGATGATTTCTTTAATCAGGTGAGGAGGAGAGCGGCTGAGGACACTGTGAACGGAGCGGAGGAGGGTGGACCACACTTCATCCACAAAGCACATGATGATGGTGGTGGTCGGGAGGTCGTTGTGCACCCGCTGCTCTGAGCACCTGCAACAGCAACACCAGGGTCACCATCAGGGCCAGGCTGCACCCTCAGAAAACTCCCCGTGTCATGTTTATCATGAAAATGCACAAGGAGAGGGGAACATGCATGCTCTGTATAATACTCAGGCAAGCAACCATAAAGCAATTTCAGTGGAAAAAGGAGTGGACACAGACTACCTAATGCAGTCCCAGGGCCTCTTCTTGTGGGCTGTCCTGCAGGAATAGGAAGGGCTCACTCCTTTCTGACTGGTGTCCTCTTGTTTTCTCCCTACCCTCATGTGATAATCCCTCACCGAAGCTATAGCTGCTTATTTTCTCCTTTCCACAAGCAAACAATGCAACGGCCCGGAAGGGTGAGGCAAACTCCCAGCTTTGCTCCTGGGAGCAGTTTGCAGATCCCAGCGAGTCCTAGGGTGGGAGGAGATACAAGCAGGCCGGGTGCTATTCTGGGATGCTCAGGGTGTCCGCATGCAGGATCCCAGGCTGCATGAAACTCAGCTCAGTAGGGGGAAAAAAATCCATAATATGTTTAAAATGCAGGGAAAGGGCTATTTCCATAAAGGGTTACTCAGCGTAACAACTGAGCAAACGCATACAGAGAAGAAAAGCCGCCCAGTCTACCTTTGGCACCTAACTCAAGGGATAGTAGCAAGGGAAAGATGTTCCAACATCCTAATTTCAGTGGGATTTGTTCATTTTCCATACAAAACGCGGTCTTGGATTATATGTATATATTATGTATAGATTACATATACATAATGGTTTCAGTGGTCTGTTTCCCAGTAGGAATGCTGGTTCCCCCTTTTTGGGTGTGCTTTGAATGGCGCCTGCATCCCTCGCAAATGGGGAAGATGCACGTCGGTTGATTTGAGGGAGCGATAAAATTTCTGCCATGTCTACGGGTTTGTCATTTTATTCCGCGGCAGCCCAACTGCAATGGTGGGTCAGGTCTGTGTCTTCAGTGTTTGAACAAAAGGTCGATGAGCAGCTTTTCTCATCTGCTATTTGCAATTCAACTATGGCTTTGATGTGTGCCTCCAGGGGAACGTCGCTCCTGCAGCTCTCCTATCTCCAGGCGGATCTCGAGGAGCACAGGCACCTCACAGCAGAACTCCTCTCCCCTGAAATACGCTATTTTATCCCAGAATACCCACGAATTTCTGGTACTTTCTCTCTGTCATCGATAAGTGGGAGCCTGATAAAGGGTTCTTCTTTCTTTTCTTTCCAGGGTAGACCTCTTGCAGGCAGGACAAGCAACCAGCTACGTGCTAGTGCAGAAAATTAATTTCTCACTGATGAATCAAAAACACTGTTCCCTCTAACACCCGGCTTTCAACAACAGACAGAAAACACAGATATGGATAGGAGAGCGCATGGACAATTGACT